GGCGGGGAGCAAGCGCTGGTTGGAGATGGGCAAAACGACTCCCTGCTTCGAAGCTGGGCTACCTGGCGGGCACCGGCCCGCTCCTAGCCCAGCAGGGCAGGCAAATGACGGCGCCGCGGGGCTCCTGCCTGCAGAGGCAGCTGCCAGGGGCCCTGCCACATTTTCCAGGCTCGCTCTGCAGAAACTGGGGACGAAGCGACGCTTCTTCCCCGTGCTGCAAGGCCGCGGGAGCCGTGGCAAGCAGGGGACTCCGTGCGTAGCTCCGCCGCGGCCGCCACGTGCCCAGGAGGCATCGGCGTGGGGCCTTGCTCCCCGCGCCTTTGCGGAAGCCCCGAGTGCTGCTGCAGGGCAGGTTCCATTAGGAACGGGTTTAAGGCTTGCTTTGTTTTCCAGAGCGAGGGAAAGGGAAGCTCCCCTTCCGCTGCCAGCACTCTTTCTCCTTGTTTCTGAGCCGCTTCCAACACCACCTTCCGCAGGACACAGTGGCCACGGTCCCTGGTGGCTCGGGACGTCTCTGCTGCCCGTGCTCGGGAAGGACGTACCGAGTGGGAGGGCTGCAGCCCAGACCCCCAGCCCCGGCTAGCACGGCTGGGGCTCCCTGTCCTCCGGGAGGGGCTCGGCTGTCGCCCCCCGGCGGAGGTAGCCTGCCGCGGCGGGGGCCGCCTCGCGGAAGCTCGCGGCTCTGCTGCTGCTGGGAAGTTTGGGGCGGGTGGGGGTCCAGGACCCCTCCTCCCCCTCGGCCTCCCGGGCGGGCTCCGGCTGCTCACACTCCATCTCGACGTCCTCGATGTCCTTCTCCCGGTAGAGCGGCACAGACTCCATCTCCAGGCCGCTCTCCAGGGCTCTGTGCTTCCCTCCCTGCTGGTACCATCGGCAGACAGCGGAGTCGTTGCAGGTCAGCTCAAGCCCCACGTTGTTCCTGGTCAGGCAAACCTCCAGCACGTAGTAGAAAGTCCAGAACACGGCAAAGCACCCCAGCAGCAGGAGGGTCTGCAAAGGAGGAAAGCCCTTGAGGAACAAAGCCCTCGAGGAACAAAGCCCTCGACCACCCCAGAGCCCTGCTGTCGCCCAGCGGAGAGGGCGCAGCGCCGGGAGGACCACGACGCAGGTTCCCGCTCCTCCCGTCCCCCTGCGGAGGACGGGGCCGCCCCGCTCGGCGCCAGCCGGCAGCGTCCCGGCCCGCAGGCAGGCTCACCTTGAGGGTGTTGGCCGTGATGGTGTAGTGCTGCTCCTCGGGGATCTCCAGCCCCGGAGGGCAGGGCAGGGAGAAGTCGCTGCTCAGGTACCGCCCGCTCATGGCTTCCTCCAGCAGCCTGGGGGACAGAGGCGCCCGTGAGGGTCCCGCAGGCGGGGCTGCTCCAGGGAGGGTCCCAATATGCCCACGAAGGGGCCGGAGTGCCCCTTCCACCACCGAGGGCTGCCCTCCTGGGTCAGAGCCAGCCAACGGCCCCCGGCTCCCCGGTGCAGCGTATCGAGGACAGCCCGGTGCCCCGGGCCGGCGGCCAGGCTGCAGCCTCACCCTGCCACGCACCTCGCAGACCTGCGATGCCGTCCCTCAGCCCTCCATCTCCTGCCTCCCCACCAAGACGGCGTTGCGGTCTCCTACCTCTGCCGTTCCTTCATCTCTGCCGGGGACCAGGAGGAGCCGTACAGGGTCAGCTGCCACTGCTTCAAGGTCCCAGGCCTCAGGCTCTCATCTCCTGGGGAAGAAACAGGTTGGGCCAGTGGGAAACTCTGCCACCCGGCTGGGTGGCACCGCACGGAGCTAACCCGCGGCCGCCCAGGTGCCGAGCTGGCGGCTCCCCGGGACATGGCAGGAGCTGCTGCCACCGCCCCATGGAGGAGGCCCGGAAGGCAGGACTCACCGACGTCCCTGATGACCAGTCTGTACGTGCCCTGCGCTTCCTCGCCCCAGCACCGGACCGTGGAGAAGGTCCAGTCAGCAAAGCCATTGGGGTCCCTGCCAAAGGGTGAGGAGAAGCGACCCATCAGAGGGTAAGGCAGCCCGAGCCGCGAGGCTGGACACGGGCCCTGGCTCTCCGGCTCGGGGCCGGCTGGGCTGGGCGTCCTGCCCTGCGGCGTGAGCCTCCGCACCCCCGTCCCCCTCGGTGCTTACGAGTCCATGCTCCTGGTGGTCCCTATCAGGGACATCATGCCGCTGGGGCAGAAGAGCCTGATCTCCAGGTTGCCGCGGCGGGGGTGGGTTATGGTGACGGTGACCGCCACGTGCTCCAGGGTTCTCATGCCGGAGAGCTCCAGGTCGGCGGTGGTGACTGGGAAAGGGAAGGCAGGGTTTGCCGAGGCTGGTGGCCGGGACGGAGTCCCCACCTCCAGCCGGCCCTGAGGGGCTGCTGTGCCCCGTAGCGGGACCCACACGCTCGTCTCTGCCTCCTCCCAGCTGCCCCCGTGCCTCTGCGCCCCCGGAGCAAGAGGCAGGAGCCAGGGCGGCGGCACCCCGCGCAGGGAGGCTCTGCCGAGCGCCGGCAGCAGAGCCGCGCTGGGCTCGGAGGCCCGGCCTTGGCCCACGCTCTGGAAGGAGCCTCCCCGGCTGCCCGAGCCGAGCCGCCCACGCGCCTCCCCGGCTAGCACAGGCAAAGGTGTCCCGGCACGCTTCCTCCCGGGCACCCCTGTCACGCTCGGGCTGCCGAGACGGGCCGGGAGAAGCCAGGTCCTCCCAGACCAGAGGTGCGGGAGGCAGCTGGGACTGGCCGTCCTCTGCCCGCAGCGGTGCCCTTTGTCCGTCCCGTCCCCCCCGAGGTCAGCCAGGACCAGGCGGGATGGAAAGGAGGACGGTGAGAAAGGAGGGGTGAAAGGCAACAGCAGCGCTGGCAGCGGGAAAGCTGACTCCCGGGCATCTCCCAGCACGTCCCGGGGCAGGAAGACGATACAGACCCACGCCTTCCTCTGCTCCCAGGGAGGGGGCCCAGGCTCTCGTTTACCAGCAGCCTCTCGCCTGCAGCCGAATCACCATTTCACAAGCACTGCC